AAAAAAAAAAAAAAAAAAAGATTTCCTCTCTAATGCCTCCTATATGGTTGCCATCCTGCGAAGCTACTGTGCTGACATAGTAACAACCAATTCTCTTAAAGAAAAACTGCTGGGTAACAGACACCTTCACACAGGTCCTTGTCACTCACTGTCAATCTGTTAACAGCACCTGAGGGCAAAGCAAGATGCATTAGAGAAGAGAGGATGAGAGGTGGAGGTGGTGGAATATTAGAACTCTGAGCGCCTGGAGGGGACAACAAAGGGATCAGCAGAATATATTTACAATAATAGTAATAGCAATAATGATAATAATAGCAGCAGCAATCCCTCCCCAACCCTGCAGTCAGCCGTCCTCCGGGAGGTGGAACTGCATTTGGGGAGGAAGATGGGGCCCCTGCCCTGAGGTATGGCTGTTGGCAGGGCGACAGAACAAAAGGGCCTGTGATGGCAACAGGTCACAGAGGGCAGTAAAGGATAACCACGAACACTCAGTGGGAGCTCAGGCCCAGGTGAAGACCACAGAGAGAAACCATCACATTCACTTCCTCACCCCAGAACTATAGCTTGGTCCTCCACATCAAAAAAAAAAAAAAAGGTGACGCCAAGAGCCTCCAAGACCTTAGAGCAAACCAGGCTACGTCCCTTGAAACCTGTAAAGATTTCTGTCCTCAACCGTATGCAAAATAGCAGCTTTGCCTAAAGCTTTGCCACCAGCCATTCTTGCTATCTTCAGGGTGTCCCCCTTGGGCTCACAGGAAGACTTCTGACCTGTTGGGAAAAACTCATTTATCTCTTGAGGGCACCAGGGTAGGGTCCTAGCAGAATCCAGGGCTTGCCAGCTGGGGATACAGTAGATAGGCCTGTGTCTACAGCAGAGGACAAGCAGAGCCCAGTGGAAGCCTCTGCAAGGAGATGGGCTCAGAGTGCTTCTGAATGGGTCCTGCAAAACCTTTGTTGTTCTCCAAGCCTCACCTAGAAAATGCATTGTATTTGGAAGGACTCACAGAAGCCACCAGTGGGGGATCTGCCTCCTTGGAGAGGTTCCCAGTGGTCTCCAGAGTGTGCCGCCTGTTACCCCAAGTCAGGTGCTCTGCTCTATTGTGAGACATTTTTAACTATTAGAAAGTCCTTCCTTCTTTTTGAGCTCCCTGTCCCGCCATGATTGCCATGTACTCATTTTTGTATGTATCGATACAGTGTGTGTTTCCACAAATGCATAATTTGTGAGCAGCCATGAAAAGAGAAAACGTACATGTCCCGCTTGTATAGAAATACAAGCACAAGTGTGTAATAAATATGCTAGTGTCGCCAGTGAATTTAAGGTTCTTTCTTCATCGTGAAAGAATTTGAAGACGAAGTGATAGGTAAGAATCAGACTTATTTAGAGAGAAATACACTCCACAGACACAGTGTGCACTATCTCAGAAGACGAGAGGCCTTGGGAGAAACACACTCTAAAGACGGAGTGTGGGTCACTGAAAGGCAAGAAGCAAGAGGCCTCGAAATATGGGGTGGTTAGTTTTTGTGGGCTGGGTAATTTCATAGGCTAATGAGTGGGAGGATTATTCCAACTATTTGGGGGAAGGGGCAGGGATTTCCAGGAATTGGGCCACGGCCCACTTTTTAGCCTTTTACGCTGGGCCTCAAAACTGTCATGGCGCCGGTGGGTGTGTCATTTAGCATATGCTAATGTATTACAATGAGCATATAATAAGGCTCAAGGTCCACAGGAAGTCGAATCTTCCGCCATCTTGGACCCAGTTGGTTCTCACTAGTTTTCATCATGTCCTATGGCTATGTCATTCTTTTAAAGGTTGTACCCTGCCCCTTTCCCTCCTGTTTCATTAGTGCACAAGGACGTTCCCTGGGGAACTGTAACAGAGCTCTCCCTGACACTGGGACTGTTCAATCAGAATTGGAATGACACAAGAGGGAGAAGATATGGGAATATATATGTATAGCTGATTCACTTTGTTATAAAGCAGAAACTAACACCCTACTGTAAAGCAATTATACTCCAATAAAGATGTTAAAAAAAAAAATTGGAATGACCCGTCTTCTTCGTAAAAACACCAAATGGCGTGTGACGCCGGTGCTGCGGGAGGGCCCAGAGGCCCCTGGGGGCCCTGGAATGGGAGGCCCCGCTGACTTCCACAGAAGCTTTAGCAGCGGCGTCCGGGGTCAGGGTCACAGCCAGGGTCGGGGCCTCAGAGCACATGGAGGCAAGGCTGAGAAGCAGGAGTGGCTCCCCGTCACCAAGCTGGGCCGCCTGGTTAAGGACCTGAAGATCAAGTCCCTGGAGAAGAGCTGTCTCTTCCCTCTGCCCATCAAGGAATTTGAGATCACTGACTTTTTCCTAGGAACATCCCTCAAGCAGGAGGTTTTCAAGGTTATGCCTGTGCAAAAGCAGACCCGTGCTGGCCAGCAGACCAAGTTCAAGGCATTTGTCACCACTGGGGATTACAACGGACATGTCGGTTTGGGTGTCAAGAGCTCTAAGCAGATAGCCACTGCCATCCATGGGGCCATCATTCTGGCCAAGCCCTCCATCATGGCTGTGTGGCGAGGCTACTGGGGAAACAAATCAGCAAGCCCCATACTGTAACTTGCAAGGTGACTGGCCGCTGTGGCTCTGTGCTGATGTTCCTTATCCCTGGCCCCAGGGGTACTGGCATCGTCTCAGCCCCTGTGCCCAACATGCTACTGATGATGGCTGCAACTGACGACTGCTACACCTCTGCCAGGGGCTGCACTGCCACCCTGGGCAACTTTGCCAAGGCCACTTTTGATGCCATTTCCAAGACCTACAGTTATCTGATTCCTGATCTCTGGAAAGAGGCAGTGTTCACCAACTCTCCATATCAGGAATTCACTGACCATCTTGTAAAGACCCACACCAGAGTTTCTGTGCAGAGGACTCAGGCTCCAGCTGTAGCCACGACATAGTTTTATATGAGAAAAATAAAGTGAATGAAGCCGTAAAAATAAATTGGAATGACCACATAGAGAGGATTCTTGCCCCCAACAGAGCGGGAGATTGGATGTGATGACCTCAGATGGTCATCTATTTATAAGTCCTTGAGTTTCTCCATCTCAGGAAGCGAGGGAAGCAGACGCCCTGGTCTCACTTTCTGTCCTCTCTGCCTCCCTTGTTTCTCCCCCCTTAGCACAGGCCATGAGGCTCCATGGAGCCTTCCATGTCTGTTAATTAATGGCCCTCACCCAGATCACTGTGTCAGGTCAATTTCCACCACTGGGGGAAAAAAATCCACAAAACCATCCTCTTATTTCAGACTTTTTTCTCCTGCTAGGTGTTCCAGAAGTGCCAAATCACTGTGCTCCCTCCTCCCCCAACCCTCTATGCAAACCACAGCCCCTGAAGAGACAGCCCTACATAGGATGTGATTCTGCCTGTCCCCTCCCTCCCCAGGCCATGCCAGTTACAACTGGGTGGACATCTGACTCAATGGTATAGCACTGGGTGAACCACGAGATTTACACCCAAAGAGTACATCTACCCCACAGAATAGACTCAAAAAATCATCCACAAGCAGAAAATACTCATCTCCAGGCCAAAAAGCAATCGTTTTGTTTCAAGTCTCTTAATCTGCATTGGTTGAGATTGTATGAGGGGTAAGGACAGCAAGAAAGGAAGAATTAGTGGAAATTATTGCAATTATGATAAAATTCCAATTACCATGAAGTTTCTAACAGTGCAAAGACTTAAAGGGACTTACTTTTCCCCTTCGAAAACACAGCTAGAGAGACAGATTTCTGCCTTCACTTTAGTGTTTGTCTTTTATTATACTGTCTTTTAGAAAAAACATGATCAGTCCACCCAAAACCACGTCTTGTCAGCTGAATACTCTTCCCCTTCCCTCCAATGACACATACTCACCGCATCTGCACTGTCTTCTGAAAAGTTGTGTTCACTGGAAGTAACAAGCTTGTTACCTGACGGTTTAATTCAGTGCTCAAATGCCACCCTTCCTTCCCCGCTCTCCCCGCCATGTCTCCCTTTCCACTCTCCCCTTGCCTCCCCACATCCCCTCTTCTCTCTCCCTTTCTTTCTGGGCTTGTGGAAAGAATCCATTAAGCTCTCTGTCCAACACGTGCAGCAGACTTCTTTCACTTTCCCGACACTTCCTCAGCTGTGGGGAGACCCAAGTCCCAGTTGGGGCATTGCTGCGGGAGCCCACGGGCTGAAGGGGCGGGCGAGGGGGTTGAGGTCTGGCAGATGCCTTTTTTGTCGAAGATAAAGGCCCCCCCATCCCCATCGAGCCTCTCCACTTTCCAGCACTTTCATCCCCTCCGATCAAAGGGCTGCTCTGAATATGAAAGGCACCACCCATTATGCGACTCCCGTCAGCCCCACCTCACCCCGCCCCCAGCCGCCCAGCTCTCAAACAAAGCCCCTGGCATCTGTCCAGGCGCAGCCCTCACCTTCTGGGGCGTTGGGTTGTTGCGTCTTCTTTTTTTCTTAGTTCACTTTGGAGAGCCATTCGGTCCCTTGAAGTATAGTTGGGGAGCAGAGGGGAAGATCTCTCTCATCCTGAGAACATTCCGCCCACATAATTTTTCAAGACACCTTGAGGATTTCTGGTCCTTGCCTCTCCCACCTCACCTGGGTATCCAGGCAGTCAGGACGTCCCCCTCAAGCTCATTTATTTCCCCCTTTCCCAGCCACTCTTAAAAATCGCTTCTCGTGGGGCTTCCCTGGTGGCGCAGTGGTTGAGAGTCCGCCTGCCGATGCAGGGGACACGGGTTCGTGCCCCACTCCAGGAAGATCTCACATGCCGCGGAGCGGCTGGAGATTGTATGAGGGGTAAGGACAGCAAGAAAGGAAGAATTAGTGGAAATTATTGCAATTATGATAAAATTCCAATTACCATGAAGTTTCTAACAGTGCAAAGACTTAAAGGGACTTACTTTTCCCCTTCGAAAACACAGCTAGAGAGACAGATTTCTGCCTTCACTTTAGTGTTTGTCTTTTATTATACTGTCTTTTAGAAAAAACATGATCAGTCCACCCAAAACCACGTCTTGTCAGCTGAATACTCTTCCCCTTCCCTCCAATGACACATACTCACCGCATCTGCACTGTCTTCTGAAAAGTTGTGTTCACTGGAAGTAACAAGCTTGTTACCTGACGGTTTAATTCAGTGCTCAAATGCCACCCTTCCTTCCCCGCTCTCCCCGCCATGTCTCCCTTTCCACTCTCCCCTTGCCTCCCCACATCCCCTCTTCTCTCTCCCTTTCTTTCTGGGCTTGTGGAAAGAATCCATTAAGCTCTCTGTCCAACACGTGCAGCAGACTTCTTTCACTTTCCCGACACTTCCTCAGCTGTGGGGAGACCCAAGTCCCAGTTGGGGCATTGCTGCGGGAGCCCACGGGCTGAAGGGGCGGGCGAGGGGGTTGAGGTCTGGCAGATGCCTTTTTTGTCGAAGATAAAGGCCCCCCCATCCCCATCGAGCCTCTCCACTTTCCAGCACTTTCATCCCCTCCGATCAAAGGGCTGCTCTGAATATGAAAGGCACCACCCATTATGCGACTCCCGTCAGCCCCACCTCACCCCGCCCCCAGCCGCCCAGCTCTCAAACAAAGCCCCTGGCATCTGTCCAGGCGCAGCCCTCACCTTCTGGGGCGTTGGGTTGTTGCGTCTTCTTTTTTTCTTAGTTCACTTTGGAGAGCCATTCGGTCCCTTGAAGTATAGTTGGGGAGCAGAGGGGAAGATCTCTCTCATCCTGAGAACATTCCGCCCACATAATTTTTCAAGACACCTTGAGGATTTCTGGTCCTTGCCTCTCCCACCTCACCTGGGTATCCAGGCAGTCAGGACGTCCCCCTCAAGCTCATTTATTTCCCCCTTTCCCAGCCACTCTTAAAAATCGCTTCTCGTGGGGCTTCCCTGGTGGCGCAGTGGTTGAGAGTCCGCCTGCCGATGCAGGGGACACGGGTTCGTGCCCCACTCCAGGAAGATCTCACATGCCGCGGAGCGGCTGGGCCCGTGAGCCATGGCCGCTGGGCCTGTGCGTCCGGAGCCTGTGCTCCGCAACAGGAGAGGCCACAACAGTGAGAGGCCCGTGTATCGCAAAAAAAAAAAAAAAAAATCGCTTCTCCTTCTTTACCTGAAAGGGGACTATGCCCTTGGAAGAGTCTAGACCGACCCCACATGGCAAGACGACGGAGAAAGTCCTGCTCCTTTTCTGTCATGTTCATAGATGGTGCCAGACTTGGGAACGAAAGCTTCCACACACATCTCTGAACATGAGGTCTGCTTTTCAGGGGGAGAAAGGTGCTTCTCAAAACTTGGACCTGAGTTCTTCTCAGACAAAGGATTCAAGCATAAGGACCAGAGAAACTGATTTTCAGGGATGTTCCGACCTGAAGAGGTGTCGTTTTGTAAAATGATGACAATTCCTGAATACCAGGAGAGGACAGGGAGGGAATCTGGAAGAACGCACCAGGCAGACTGGGCCTCTTCTTCTGCGATTCCTGCCACCGCCTTCCTGCACACCCTCCAAGCCCTCTCCTGCCTTGGTCAGGTTCCCCGACCACCCTCCCCTTCCACCCAGCCCACATCCTGCCCTGACTTCATGGCTGACTGAGCACATCCATCTCCTGTTATAGATGTGGACTGAACTGTGCCCCCCCCACCCCCAATTCACAGGCTGAAGCTCTAACCCTCACTATGACTGTATTTGGAGATGGTAATTAAGGTTAAATGAGGTTGGGCTTCCCTGGTGGCGCAGTGGATAAGAATCTGCCTGCCAATGCAGGGGACACAGGTTCGATCCCTGGTCCGGGAAGATCCCACATGCCGCGGAGCAGCTAAGCTTGTGTGCCACAACTACTGAGCCTGTGCTCTAGAGCCCGCGAGCCACAACTACTGAGCCTGTGCTCTAGAGCCCGCGAGCCACAACTACTGAGCCCACGTGCCACAGTTACTGAAGCCCACGTGCCTAGAGCCTGTGCGCCACAAGAAGAGAAGCCACTGCAATAAGAAGCCCACGCACCGCAACAGAGTAGCCCCCACTCGCCACAACTAAAGAAAGCCCGTGTGCATCAACGAAGACCCAACGCAGACATAAATAAATAAATAAATAAAAATTAAATATATATATATATATATATATATATATATATATAGTCTTTAAAAAAAAAGAAAGGTTAAATGAGGTCATTTGGGTGGGGCCCTGATCCAATAGGACTGGTGAGCTCTCTCTCTCTGTGCGGAGAAAAGGCCATGTGAGGACACAGCAAGAAGGCAGCCATCTGCAAACTGAGGAGAGAGGCCTCATCAAAAACCAACCCAGCCAGCACTTTGATTTTGTATTGTGAGCCTCCAGAACTGTGAGGAAATCAATTTCTGTTGTTTAAACCACACAGTCTGTAGTAGCCTGTGATGGCAGCCCAAGCAGACTAGCACACCTCCTTCCCCCAAATCCCACACCATGCTGGGGTAATGATAAGAATTAACACCAATCTCTCCATCTCCAAGGTCCAGTGAAAGTTACAACCTGTGCTAAGTGCTTCAGGACTGTCTCAGTCCCTTCCTAGAAATTTCCATTCTTTTCATTTCTACTGCCCTGAAACGTAATTTTCCTTTAAATTGTTAAAAGGAAAACAAGATAGACAAGACCAACAAGACAGACAAGCCCAGGAGCAATAAGCTATGAAGAATGATATGAAGAACGAAATGAAAAGCACAAGAAAGCTAACTTCACACACGTAACCACACCTGGACCGGTTAATGGGCCTAATTAGGCATAAGTGGTAAGCAGCTCACAAAATGGCTACACAGTGTATTTGCTTCTGCCATAAAGAATGTCGCTCGCCATCTGGCTCTACAAGGATTGAGTCACTTGCCACTGCAGTCACTGACCTTCAACACGTCCTGAAAGGAGTTCCAGGTGGAGATCAGAAATGAGGTACCCTGTGCTCTGGGAAAACTGGCAGAACAGGCCTTCAGACAGA